GCTCAAGACAGGTCAACACACTTTTACCACCATGTTGAAGAACTGGTGCGGCCATTTTACTGATAATCTGTATTTCTGTAAACATTATGCAGAGCATTTTAGTCTCATTTACTGCTAGAACACTGCTCCAGAAGTCTTGTGGATTTTCTTTAACGAATCTTTGCAAACAACAGGCTGCTTTCCGAACACATTGCTCACTCTGTCTTTTTTAATCCTGCTGTCATTAAGAGACACTGAAATGCATTTTTTTTATTTTTTTCATTTAAGACCCAACCTTGCTGAATGCTTCAAAAGAGTAAATAGCTCAAACGTTTAGAGAAATGGGACACCATTAATGGTTAAATTAGCGGCACGTGGATGCTGCCTAAACTCTTATCACCCACCTAATTTTAATGCATTTTTTCTTAAATAATCACTGGAATTGACAATAACAGCTGGAGTCAATCTAATTCAGGATGGCCACCACAGCAAAGGAGCATTAGGAAACAGAAGAAAGACAACTCTGACAGTTTTACAAATATGCAGCTGAAATTTGGTGTGGTAGTAGCTGAAAGTCATCCTTAACCTGTAATCTGAGTGCAACACTGAGCAGTGTCTTTGCTTTAAACTTTAGCATAAACTGTTGGAGTCAACCCTGTCTTTTAACAAAACATCTCCTGAACCACTGGATGGATTTACATTAAGTTCTCATAATGTAATAACCGGATGTGCACCTGAAACTGATTAACCTTATGAGCACCAGGTGATATTTTGACTTGTCAAACCTGGATTRAACTMGACAGGAAGKGTTCATCTTAATGTTATTAGTGAAYAGGAAGAATGTCATTCATTGTGTTGATAATATAGCATGCTCACTCAGTTTGCCAAGTGTTTCTGAATAATTGCAACATGTGAACACAAAAACGCATGCAGATTGCAGACATTCCTCCTGTGCGTTGGAGCTTTGTGGCGCCCTTCTCGCTAATTATGTTGGGACGCTGTACGACAGCGAAACAAACAATTTACTAAATTACAGGTGCGTTGTTGAATTAAACACGGCTAACGTGCTCGGTTTTCATTCGTTTCAGCCCTACYGACACCTGTGAGACACACTCGGTTAGCGGCTCGCCTTCAACGCCCCTGTTTTTATGTCGCGCACGCTACTCGCAATGTGCTACAATAAAGCTAAATCGAGTTATGCACAAAAAGACCCACAAACTGCATGTGTGTGATTTCAGATAACCCCGCATCTTAAACATGCAGGCTCGTCTAGTAGTTTTAGCTTCATGTTCATTGAGCAAATTGTTACCAACCTGTCGAAATATCACAAATTCAGGCGCTCATGATCCTCCTCCGGCTAACCTTATTAGCTACTTCCTTGTTATCTCGCTTCCACTGACGTGGACTACAACTGTATGGCAGGTCGTTTTATCATATATTTAAACAACGCCTGTTTTTAATTCAGGCTATCAATTTAATCCAACTCTTTTTATTATTTTAATCCTTAAAAATACGCAACACCCACCATGTACCTAATTTCCCTCTGGGATCAATAAAGTATTCGCTTCTACTGAGGAGAACTACAACTGTATGGCAGGTCGTTTTATCATATATTTAAACAACGCCTATTTTAATTCAGGCAATCAATTTAATCCAACTATTTTTTATTATTTTAATCCTTAAAAATGCGCAACGCCCACCATGTACCTAAYTTCCCTCTGGGATCAATAAAGTATATTTGAATTGAATTTGAATGTAAGAACTACGGAAGAGGATTAGTGTCACTGAGGAAAAAAAAATCCTAAACTCTGGAAAAAAAAGTCTTAATTCTGAGATTAAAGTTAGAATGACTTAGAAGTTTGAGATGAAAGTCAGAATTCTGACTTTACAGCTACTATCAAATAAGTTAGCTCAATATCTGCTTTCCAGTAAAAAATAATTTAAAAAGTTTAAATAGCTTTCCATTTAAACATGTCTACCATTGCATTTTGTCCAAATCAAAATAAACCTTTAAACTATTCACAAGCACTTTTTGAACCCTTGGTAGAAAATTGAATCAAAGGCTATACCTTCATCTATTACAAGACTGAGTAAATAGATCTGCTCTGAACATTAAATCCAAAGGTTTATTATGGATCACAGCTTCTAGTGGACACTTTCTGCTCAGTCACTCACCCTTTCGTGCATACCGTTTTTACAAACAACAGGAAAGAAAAAACTTCTGCTTTGTTGCCTTTTTATTGAATGCAAGATTTAACTGAAGCATAACTTTGGTCAACGTGTAAAACTGTCTTAACAGGTAGAAAAATGTCACTGACAAACTSTGTCCTAAGGTACTGAACAGCCAGAAGTTTGATCTGACAACAAACCAATTGTAGCCGAGTTGGATTATTCAGATCATTTTACAGGTCATGTTTGTTTTTGAAGTTTGACATCATGCGTTGACCAAGTGGCTAGACATACATTAGTCATTTTCAAGCAAAAATCATATTCTTTTTAAATACTTTTGTGTTTATTACATAACCATCATTTTACAAATAACCCCATTCTTATTTTCAGAAATGCTGTCCGAAGTTTATTWACTTTAATGCAAGTCTCAAACTGTGACCAAACGCCTCCCGCGTGTTACTTTACAGAAACGCCTGGCCCCAGTGACCAAGACAGAGAAAAAACAAAGGCGCTGTTTATAAAGTACTGACATGAACAAATCTACAAAGAACAATTTCCTTGAAATTATTTCAGATAATTCGTGGCAGTGGAAAAGTTTGGATTCTTGTTGCTGACTGTCCAGTCTCCTCCGCCCATTAAGTGTTTTTCTCCTCCTTCGTAGAGCCTGCAGGAAAGATGTGGCAAAACGTAGAACAGAAAAAAAAAAGACCATTTCAACCCATCCCCTTCCAAAAGTAAAAATTCTCCAACACCCCAAYGTGCACACCTGAATCCTTGCAACTTGAATTATTCTTAACAGGTAGAAAGACCGAGGCAAAGAGGGTCACATCAACCCCAGAGATACAGAGCATCCTTCAAAACAATCGCCAAAAACAGTGAACAACAAGATGGAAGGGAACTGAATGCCCAAGTCACTCTTCAGTTTAACTGACCCTAAATGCTGGTTTGTGTAATGACTATCAGGAGAGGAACGTGCCCGGCTTCGGGGAAACATGTGGAGGTAGAAAACAGGGTGTATGAACAAGTAGACACCCCTCCTCTTCCTCCTCTTCCTCCTTTTTCAGCTTCTCATCAGGTGGATTAGTTCTTGATCAGCCCACCGTCTCCTTCACTTACAAACCGCTTCCGCCCTCTGGTGGAGAGAGTAAAGTTTAACGAGCGACTCTAAGCTTATTAGTTACTGTATTTATTCATGTAYAATACTAGAAATTTAACCCTAAAAATCATCCATAAAGTGGGGGGATAGTATTATACACAGGTTATTGATAATTAGGTTTTTATGCTTTGTAAGCTCAAAAAATGATGATCGTATAATACATGAATAAATACGGTACTTTATAGTCATTTCACATAGTTTCACAAAAATATCACTATTAATTTGCTTTTATTTAAAAACTGCATATATTATTGGTACTTAAACAACACATACAGTCATGGGGAGAAAAAAGTCTTTCAGTTCTAGTTTTTTTTTTTACATTAGGATATAAAGCCCACCCTGCTGCTTCCATTGGATTAAAGCAGGACAATAGCAGGCAGGTGCTGCTGATCAGATGATTAACTGATCAACATGTGATCGCCTCTATAAAAGCAGGAGTTCTGGCAGTTTATTGGTTCAGAGCGTACAGGTGTATGTGTGTGTGTTAACACAACACCAAAGAGAAAAGACATCAGCTGCAGAGAAGCTTGTAGGAATGTGTTTTAAAACAACTTTTAAAAAGTGACGAGTGTCACTTCTCTCATCCATGGCAGTCTTTTTATACATAAAAAAAAGCGCACAGTCTTTTATTTATTTATTTATTTTGGTGACTGATTTACACTCTTATTACCTCCCAGCTGGACTGTTGTAACTCGTTGTGTGTTGGCGTTAGCCAGGCCGGCCTCTCATGACAGCAGCTAGCTCAGAACGCCGCAGCTCGTCTTTAACACGAACAAAAAAGCGTGAACATATCACCCCGGTGCTGCTTCCCTTCACTGGCTCCCTGTTTGTTTCAGAATTTATTTTTAAAGTTTTACTGATGACCAATTAGGCCCTGAATGGACAGACTCCTGTGTTATCTGTCTTGACTTCCTGCAGCCTTATGTCCCCTACAAGAGACAGACTACATTTAGCTCTTTCAAGCAATTTTAAAAACAAGAAAACATCTGTCTTTAAGAATGACTTTAATAAGTGGACAAAYGGAAGAGAAATGTACTCATTATTTCAACAAAACTAACCTGGAGGGACAAGCATCCCTCAGCTGTTTGGTGATGACTGACTCCTTGTAGCAWAGCTCCACAAAGGTCTCCATGATGGAATGAGCATGTGGCACATCCAGGCTGATTTCAGGAAGCTCATCGTAGACGCGCTGGAAGCCCTGCAAGTACACACGAGCAGGTCCAAGAGATGTTTAAAAGAGCTGAACACGTTTGAAATTTGAGCTGATATATTATACAGTGGGGCTAACCCTGTTCATCTGATCCACAGTGATGAGGCCCGTTTTCCAGAGGGACTGCAGAAGTTTCATCATCATATGACTGGCAGTTTCTCCTTTTGACTCCAGCACCATCACCACAGCCTGAMAAAACAGCAACATGAGCAGAATCAATAGAAACACCTGCACTGTGGATTCAATCACATGGTGGGAATGTTTCTRTCTAGATTTGATGCAAACATGAAGAAAAACTCTCCAACACCCCAACATGCACACAGGAATCCTTGCAAACYGGTATTTATGATCAATAAAGACACAAATAATTCTAACACTAGATTTAGATGTTTACACTAAGCCCTAAACAATTTTACATGTAAATAAAAATGTATCAAACATGCAGCTTTAAATGTAATCAAGCTCTAAAACAAACTACTTCAGTTATCCTATTTTCTAATTAGGCTAATAACATCTTATCTGGTTAGAAAGTTACACAAGGAAACATAATTTCACAGCACAGCTCARAGAATCAGGCTGAATCCTTCACTGTCAAGAGGAAACCATATTAATCGTGATGGAGACAAATGTTTAAGATCAAACTGAAATATGACTAGTAAAATATTCACACAACCTTTTAATCTGTCAAAAAAAATAACAGTACATGTTCCATTTTATTCGTTTTTTTTAAATAGCTTGTATTTAAAACTGATGTAAGCAGTTAAAAATATTACTTAATGCACTGCGTGAGGCAGCCAAAAGGCTTTTACACTGATTGGGTTTCACATTTCTTTGTTGTGGCTTCAAGGACTTCTGTGGCTGTTTGAGGAACTTTGTTTAATTTATGAAAAGTTTCTTTAAAAAGATGTGGGTTGATGATGCTCAAACATAAATCATTATGGGCCTCATGCAAGAACAGGTTTGTATTCTCATCCTAAATTTCTCTAACTTTTGTTCGTACAAACATGCCACGTCAGATTCAACAAACTCTTCTATCTTCAGGAAAAGTGTGTAAATGAGGAGCGTAAACTGATAAATRYRTATCAGGTGCTCGTGCACGAGGAGAGGAGATTAGTATAATCTACCACCCCAAAAAACACCATACAAGGCTACGTTTCCTGCACCAATGGAAGTGTCCATTCATAAACGACATTGCAAAGTAAAAAGAAGAACTTTACGAGTTCGGAGATAGAAGTCCTGCTCTCAGAAATCCAGAAAAAAAAAAGTCATTTTTAGCAGCGTGCACACTGTAAACAACTGTGTTACATAGTTTTCATTTATTCAGAAAAAGAGCAGTTTAGAGTTCATCCATGTGTGTTTTCATTTTTTGCTAAAATCAAAACAACACACGCTAATCGTAAAGGTTCAAATACTGATGTAATTCTTTATACAAACACTTAWGATGTTGAATTTAATTGTAAAATAAACATAAACGAGATGTGAACGTAGAGCTGCTAAAATTTGATGAACAAGCTGAAACTGAGTTGTTAAAGATAAAAAAGAGAACACAAGTTCAAACCTAAAATAAAAAAATAATTAAAAACACTAATAGCTAAAGTAGTAGTATAACACAAATTAAAAGTTAAAAAAGCAAAACACCAACTCTGAGCTAAAAGGAGCAAAACAGGAGCCAAAAGTTAAAAGTTGCAAAAGTCTAAAGGTTTCAAAAAGTTAGCTAGAAACTAAAGTAGCAGAATCGTAGCTACGGTTTAGCTAAAAGTTAGCACAAGACAAAGAAAACAGCAAATATGCTGAAGCCTAATTCACAAGGAACAAGGTTTTCAAATGAATGTAAGAAATTTCAATGTATTTCTATGAGGAAAATACTTGTAGAGAAAAGATACAAAAAGTAAAAGAAATAGGCTTAATCTACTAGGAGCTGAGACTGTGTTGTACACATAGCTAAAATGGCACAAAGTATCTACAGAACAAAAGCAGTAAAACAGCGTGAATGCTGAGTCAGCATCAAAGTGTGAATTTAGATCAGGGAGGAAAAAATAAATAAATRAAAACTTTTGTCCCAAATTGAATCTATTAACTCTTGTCTGTGTGAGCATGAGTGTGCGAGCACGTATGTGTGTGTGTCTATGCTTGATTTACACATTCACAGGTTCTGAACTGATTTGGACCGAGCTCCACAACTGCACGTATTGAAAAAAACGAGAAAGTCGCTGCCAAACACAAAATGTCCTTGGCAGAAAACYGATTATCAAAGCAGCAGAGATTTATTTTTATGGCTTTCCTCGTCAGTTTACTTAACAAGAACCAAGTGAGAGAAAACACTTTGAAAAAGGTTCAGTTTGTAGCTTTTAGCTTTCATGTGATCCTGAACAGAAAAGCCAATAAAAATGAATGGAYAGATTTTGTATCCTGTTGCATTAAAGACTAGAAAAGACCTGGAAATGCAGGTCTGTTTTTAAACTGATCAGGTGGTCAAATACCTCATAGACCAGCTCGTGGTGGAAATGAGGGACCTCCAGGTCCCGCAGACAGTGCTCTGCCTCAGCAATGTCTCCTGATATCAGATACTCTTTGAGGAGAAGGTTCATCTGCAACAGAAAAAAAAAAACAGGTTCACAATTTAAATTAATATTAAGATTTCATCCTATGTGTGGGGACAGTTTGTTTGTGTGGTTTATTATGAGAAATTTGTACAGAATCTAAAGTGTAAAAAAAAAACTAAAATCTGATTTTTTTAACCAACCTGAAAAGAAATATGTTCTATTGAAATACAGAATCTAAACGTTGTAGAACCCAGTTATAATAAAGTTTATTGGTTGTGTTTCCATATTTGTTCCTGTTTTTTTAACACACTTGTTGTCCACATGGGAGAGAAAATCTAAGGAAATAACCACTAAATAGCCTGATGCAAGTTGTTTAATATTAATGAGCTCTTCTCACATTTCCTGATAATCAGGAAAGATTTTGACTTTTTGCTCCTAGGACAATTCAGTGTTAATTGCAAAAAATAAAATTAAATAAAATTAGATAAAATAAATAATAATAAATTGTCAGAAACCTTTGTAGTTTGAGCAATGCGTAAGAGCTGGTCATGTTAACTGAAAACCTAACAGAGAAGTCCAAAGGTCTGAAGTTACAGTGATCTGTGAGGGCACACTGTACATGTACACATGCACTTCAAATGTTGTGTAACTAATAACTTGACAAGATGAGCACTTGACTCTTCCTCTCTACAGTGCAGAAAATTTAAATTATGGAGTGACAACAGAAGTTAAAACACAGAGAGCTTTTTGTGTGTGTTTCAGATGAAGGCAGGGGTGTGAAAATACAGTATGCTGGCCCCTCCTGTGCTCTCTTTTTTTTTCTACAAATCTCAGGAGAAAAACACTCTGCTGACACAGCAGTTCAGCAGCGAGTTGGCTTGTGGATTTCTACCCAGCACGCATTTTTGCCTTCTGTTTGTGTTACATAACAATAACAAAGATCCCACTCTTTTTAATAGAGATAAAAGGATTAAAATTAAAAATCTTAAATCATATCAATACATGAAACTATAAGAAAAAAGCTAATTAGTTTTTGATTTGTACATATTGCACTATTCTCCCAGTTTKGTCAGAATTTACCTCTTTGATGAGATGTTTAACGGGTCTCAGACCTCCTCCGACGCCCCACACGTTGTCCAGACGGACCATCTCCCTCTTCATGGTCAGAAGCACTGCAGCACGGTCCAAAGCCACTCTGGGGGGGGGGGCACATTCAAACAGTAAGCTTTACGGTTTCGATCAGAGTTGAGAATTAATATTCAAACCATCAATAACTTCTGCCGTCTCACCTGGCATGGTCACAGTCCACTTTGCCTTTATGATAATCCAGAAAATCCATGGGCAGGACGTGGTCTGCTATAGCTCTGGCTATGAACTGGCCCAACATCTGGGAAAAGCAGAAAAAAAAAGAAGTGTCCCCAAGATACACATGTAAATTTCAAAGTGTGGTCAATTATGCATAATAATGTAACTCCATAACTGCGAGCCATGATGGGAAATCAAGTCAGAATGAACACAGGGCAAAAAAATGTCAAAATATTGTTGTTTTTTTGCCATAATGAAAATTTGCGTAAAAATTAGTCCATAAAGATACAAAGACTGAGGGCAGAATATACTTCACTTTCTTTTAGGCCAGTTTTAGTTTCTGCTAAACTCACTCCAAACCTCAACCACAGTGGTAATAAAAACTACTAATGTAAAAAGTTAAGATACAGAAACGCCAGAAGACAAGAGAGCATGCAAGCTGCAACCTGCAGTAGAAAACAATGTCTTGTGTTGAGCCATATTTAATCTTTTAGCTGTGTTAAGCCCCGTGTTGCCTCTCCACCCTTCTGAGTAGACAACACAAAGCACAGATCCAAAGTTCTGCTCTCACTTCATCTTTGGCTCTACCTGAGGTGCCTCTGGTGTGTCCAGTATGAGGTCTGGCAGCTCATTGAGCATCTTGTCAAAAGCGTGGGCCATGTCTCCCTGCGACAGCAACTTGCCCAACAGATCCGACAGCAGGCGGGAGGTCAGCTCTCTGTGACTGGCTTTGCCTTCGAGCGACAGGGACACAGCCAAAGAGGTGACCTCGTACTTGTGTTGGCCCAGGTTGAGCTCCTTCAGCAGCATCTGACAGGAAAAAAAAAAAAAAAAAAAAAAAAAAAAAAAAAAAAANACACACAACACATGAATTTAAAGGAGACCAATTATGGGTCCTAGAAATTTTTATGGTATGTCTGTGGGCTATCCAGACCATGTTCATTCAATTTAATGCACAAAATAATTCTCAGATAATAAAATTTCCTATCTTCTAGTTCTGCCTGCTCTGACTTCCGTTCAGAAGAGTTGTTTATGTTAATGAGCTCTGTTGGTAACGCCCTCCAAAAATCTGTTGACATTAACTCCGCCCTCCAAAGCCAGCGTTTACGTTAGCATGGCTAATAATAGCAGAAGCTCCGTTGTACAACCTGAGTCAGACCCAGAGGCGGAGTCATGGTCGCAGCAGCGGTCAAAATACCTCAGAAACTCGAACAAATAGGTTTTAACAAGGCTTTAATAAGCTAAACAATAGAGGTACATGAGAAAACGTGTTCATAACATACAAAAATAAATAATTAAATAGTGTCTGTACTGGTCTCAAACCCTGGTCTCCCACTCTCTGGTCCAACACTCTACTCATTGCCCTATTGGAGGCTTGATGTGAAACAAGCTGCGCATTACACAACAACAACCGTGACAGCTTTTTATACTGAGGAGGTGGAGCCTCACCCGGGGGTTGCTAGGTAAGGGGCCGAATGCAGGTTCCGGTGGGTTGTCGTACGGCTTGTGATATCACAAAATGACAGAAGTATAAAACTTGTCATTAATATACATTAAAAATACATTTACTTACAGTAAATATGCCCCTGGGTGCATTTTTTGGTCCTAGGACTGTTTTTTTTAAAAGTCCATACCCAAAGTTGAGTAAAAAAAAGCTTTACAAAGTGAATTTTGCATAATAGGTCCCCTTTAACATGACTCTAAACCCAATGGAAGTGATCATGAGTTCTCCTGTACAGACTTCTTCATTTGTTCTACATTCTAGACCCACTTGTTCCTGCCTAGCCGGCAAACACACTTAAATAAAACCCTTCATCTTAAATAATTTACCTCAACCTCTTTTGTGTCTCCGTGTTCGAAGTACTCCTGTACAATTGGGTTGACCATCTTTTCCAATTCCTTCTCTTCTACCTCGGGTACAACAGTTTCATAAACGGTGTCACCCTGTAAAAAAAATATAATAAAATAAATAAAACACATTATCAGTCAGGGAAATGCCAACCTTAAAAATTAAATGGAGTAGCATTACATTTTCAGTCAGAATGTTAAACTTAGACAAACAGAGCTTATAGTGTGAGTCAAGAAAGACTAAATAACCACTGATCCAAATTTCAGTATCATAAAATTTGACCAAATTTATTGCCGTTTGTCATTTCTTAAGATYGATTGGCTGTGTCTGCCACCTTGAGTTGGGTTGAGTTAAAAAGTTAATCCGTTATAAATGCACCTGAAAGTTGGTCCAGCTTAGAGTTTTCTGCTCCTGTTACACAAGTGACATTTACTTTAAAGGCTTTTACTTTCAAACAATGACAGAGCAAAAAAAAAAAGTCAGTCTTTATTTACTCTGTTTTCAAGAGCATTGATTTTTAACGGGAGTTATAGTTCCTATGTTTGCTCCTCTGGAAATTTTCTTTACACTTTAACATTTTCCCATGCACATGACGACTTGTATCAATATTTCATCCTTGATCCACTTAGTCTGGTTCAGGGGCCACCGTCTGCAGTGTCTAGTGTGTTTCCCTGTACCACTTTGTCCCAGTTCCTTTTTTAACATTTGACATATTTCCCGTGACTTTATGCACCCGTCAAGGCCATATTTACCCCCAGCTTCTCTTCCCTTTTAACGGCCAGAAGCTGCGTTCCCACCTCGCGTTCAGCTGTGTGAACGCAGCGGGAGACAAACAAACCTGGCCTTCAGCAGCACATGGAGCATTTGCATGATAACAGGGTCAAAGATTGATAATGGTGTTGATTGTGATGGGATGGAGCCATCTGGATTAAACAATTATGCGAGTAGGTGTGTTCTTGAATCACACACAGTGTTATGATCAGTCAGCATACTTGGAGTCAAAAAGCTGCAATTTCTGAGCTGCTGTAAGAAGTCTTATTGTAGGTTTTGATAAAAGAAAACAAATGTTTGTTTTTTTTTCCCACCATAGTCCAGCGAAACTAAACCTCTCACAGAGTGGTACACCAAAACAGAGAATATTATATTTGTTATTTCTTAAAAATAACCTGTTTTTATTTCTATTGTCAAAACAACAAAAACTGTATAAAAGGTGCTTTTCATCTCAGATTTAAAACTATTGGTTGAACATTGTGCCCTAGACAGAGAAAACAAGTCTGTGACTCTGATCTCAGACCAGCAGCTGTTGGGGTTAGAGTGCATGTGTCTAAAATCATGATAAGATTGCATAAATTTGACGTGCGAGGCAGACAAGTCTGCACAAAGAGCAACATTAAAACCAAACTAAAGTTTGAGAGAGGACATTTTTAACAATGAAATCTAAACAGATATGATGCAGAGTTGATTTCCTACCGTATCAAACAGTTTCTGAATATGATCTCAGACCATTTAAGAGTTCAAGTAAAATGAAAAAGCTTTCAGAAGACACGTTACTTAACACAGCTGCAACGTTAAATAGTCTATAATCAGCCATTTACCTTTGTTTTTATGTTTTATAAAGTGCTGTTAAAATGTGATGCTCATTGACACACACTTACAGAGCACATCCTATTATTATCTTATTTTACTTTGATTTTTTTTAACAGAGCACTTTGCTCTCAGACTGTAGGTTTAAATAAAAAACTCGAATCAAGACTGGAAATAGTTTAACAATTAATTTGAAAAAAATATATATCTAGGACTTTTGTGAAATATTATGAATCTTTACAAGCAAAATGTGTTCTTGTTGCTACCTGACAAGAGTTTCTCTTATATTCAAAAAGCCACACTCACCTGAGCAGATTCATCGTAGTTGGGATCCCGAACATCTGGTTCTTCAACTTCATAAACCATCCCTGCAGCGCCCCAAACTCCTTTACCACCGGCCCCACCTGAGTTTAAGAAAGGCAGAAGGGGGAAATTAATAAAATCCTAACTCCTAACTTAGTTTGTTTAGTTAATAAACAGAAAGTCATGACATGCTAAATTAAACTGGTTATCCTAACATTAGACACTTTTGAACCATTTTCAGAGGAGTTCCTGACAAATTAAGCTAACAGAAAACAAAAGCTGTTAATAGCCATCAACAAAAGGTGGATTTAGTTCTCAGTGGATCGATATCAAGCTGAATTTCCTTTATTTATTGAAGCATTAACCTCCATCACAAAACAGTAAAATGTACCCTTCTTTGGCAGACCTCTGCCTTTGCCTGTCCTGGACTTGCGGTCATTGTTGTGGACTTTCCCCTTCACACCATGCGGGTCACCTCCTGCCACCTCTCCTGACTCAGAGACAGACTCGCTTGCGGAGTTGCGGGACGAGGACCTGCGCAGGCGACGCTTGGCCTTGGCTTTGAGGCGGGCCTCGTGGAGCGCCTTTTCCTGGGGTGTCCAATTGCCGTTGACCTCAGCGTCAATTAGCTCTTCATCGTCACTGTAGGGAGAGCTCACTTCCACCTTGTTGTCCTCAAAAGAAACCACTCCTATGGTGGGAAACAAGAAACAACAGGTTTGCTGTAAACAGCTGAAACAATTTCACACAAGTATAAACACAATGGGATAGTCCTGCTATCACAGATGAGCAGGTCTTGGGTGAAATTAGGGCTGGGCAGTATGACCTCAAATTCATATCACAGTATAAATTGAACCCCTTCACGGTAACGGTATATATCGCAGTAGAAAATTATCAGAAAAAGTTAAGACAATGTAATTTTTAGAGCATTTTTTGCAGAAAACTGTAATCTTAATTAAACCCAACATTTTTGCTTTAATATCTGCCTGCCAAACAATGAGCTTCTGCCTGCTGAACTTAGCTGCTGCTCTGCTGCGCGCTTATCTTCATCATCAGAGCAGAAGCCGACTTTACATTAGCAAGATGGATTTATGACTGAACGAACATCCACATCTTTTTTTAATAATCTGTGGGTAACACAAACATTTTTTTTCTCTGATAACTGAGTGTGAAGAACTACAGTTGTTAAAGCTTCGCTCTGCGTGACGTGCAGCGAGATGAGAGGAGAGGGAGGAAATGATGCCGCGACACGACATAACTTTTTTACAGCGGGAGGAGGAAAATTTGAGGATTTATCCTCTCTATGCGTGTATTAAAAAGTAGGGATGTCCCGATACCACTTTTTCACTTCCGATACGATACCGATATTACAACTTTGAGAAATGTCCGATACCGATATTGACCGATACCGATATTGACCCGTTACTGTAACAGTACAAGTCACACACTTTTACCTATTTTGTAGTGTAAAATCTTAGAAAAATCTTGATCAGATCAAACAGTGAAAAAGAGTAGGTATGAGAAAAACTGACCCATTTATTTTAAACCAATGGATCACATACATTTTACACTGAAGAACATTATACAATTTAATAAATAAAATAAATTACAATACCCTGAAAAAATAACATAATAAAAACAWAATGTACTTTTACAGTGTAAAATAATTCAAAATCACTCCAGTTATTTTTTTACCATCTGTCAGCCTGGTGCTGCTTTATGGTGGAAAAAACTGAAGGTGGAGACAAAACAAAAGCCCACATTATTGTCTGTTCAAAGTTAAGAGTCCACAGCTCCAATTTTACTGACTGTAACCAAAACAACGTGATCATTGCACTTAATCTTCACTCAAACAAGTGTGTAAACAGATTAAACATCACTCTAATAACAAGAGCAAAAATAAATAGTAAGAATTAGTTATTTAAATTGATAGCTACCTTTCTTAGTGCTAAATTTCCACTTTCTACAGTCTGAGCATCATGTGGAGATCAGCCTCTCTCTCCTGCAGGGAGCAGTTTTTATCTCTGCTCTCGTCATGTCGCTCATATTCCAAAACAAAAGCTGCACTCTCCTTTCTTCTGTCCATCAACACAGAGCTAATCCACGGATGTCAAAACAAGCGTGCTGTCCTCGCTTCTGCCCGCTTAGAACCACCGACCGGACCAGAGATTCCGAAACAGCGCGGCTGTGTGCGGTCACTGGACCGAGGCTGAACCGAGCCGAACCGCAAAGCTGCTGCCAGGGTGGAGAGTAGTTGTCGCTCCGGTTTAAAACGTTCACGGTTCTGTGTTTCCCCTCGGAAAACTTGTGCATGACAACTTTACACTTAGCTGCAACTCTGTTTCTGATGAAAATAGAAAGTTCTGCTGCCGACATTCTTGCTAAATTGTTAGCGCTGCTGTTGTTATGATCACGTGAGTGCTACAAGCAGGATCCAAGCGCTGCTGGATAGAAACACTGGAGCGGAGTCAGTGAACTGCTGGAACGGACTGCTAATATCGGAGCGCTKATATCGGACATTTTTTATGCAGTCCGATAAAATCCGATACTCGTTTTTTGGCTGATATCGGACCGATATCCGATATCGATATCGGATCGGGACACCCCTATTAAAAAGCTAGAATTTCATCATTATATTTCGAACTCCTGCTCAGTTGTCTCTGCACTAGCAGCCATGCTGACACAGGTGCGATGACATAATGACGATAGGATGGTAGAGTGTAAATTTCAACCGTAGGCCAACTTCATACTGTTTCTACTGTCTACCGCGTATACCGTGCAGCCCTAGGTGAAATGTGTATATCAACCACAAAACCACAACAGGTGTTGGTCCGATGACCTTAAGAGGTCACCTCCATGAACTGCACTTCAGTAAAAAAGGCAAGAACACAATTTTGAACAGTAATAACGCTTTAGAAAAAAATGGATTTTTTTAACTGGACCTTTACAATGAGCTGTGAGGTTAAATTTGATTGTAACAAATAAACTGACAAGCCTACAACAGGTAAACAGTTTGCAAACATTTTTAGAGCTGGATAATGATAAACTTTGTGCATTTCAACAAAAGGTTTGCTACATATTTCAGCCAGATTTACAAAGAAGACCTTAACGTTTTCTTGGCCTTTGTTTTGCTGTTGGCTGAATAAACCAGACAACTATGGACCATACAAAGACAGGATCTTTTCTATTGCATCTTAGCTGTAATTGGACCTCATGTGGCCACCCCCACATTGTTTATTAAATCCTCAGTGCCTGGCTGGGGTATCTAAACCTAGCACACAACCAGAACCCTCCACCAGGCTTGACCTGTGTGTGTAGAGACAGCGCATGCAAAGAGGTGGGTGGGTGTTGCTCAGAGCACCAGATTGCTGATTGAGCAAGAAAAACTACAAAACATTCCAGTAACTAGCGCCGCCGAGTGAGAACCTACAATTTAAGTTTTGAGCTGTGCAGTCCAGAAGCAAACATCAAATGAAAAACACTGATAACACAAATGATGGTGTTTTTGTTTTGGTAAATATTACCTATAAACAAATGAACACTTTCTGCAAGTAAGTAACTGAACTGTTTTACTGGATCTAGAGTTTAAGCGGTGAGATTGATTTATTAAAAATGATCAAAATATTGATGCACAAACCCCCTTTTTTATGATGTAGCATTTTCATTATAATTGGCTGTACAGCTTTCTAACATTGTTTATCCTACACCAAGTGGCCCACATTACCAACATGCAAAAGGTGGGTCAAATAGTGCTTCATATACTACTGTTCTGTGGGTGAAATCCTATATTTAGTTATCAGGTTAAAGTGTGCACGGAGGACACGTGTACATAGACAGCAAGAGGAGTGCAGCTGCAGCAGAGGGTGGAGGAGGAGGAGGAGGAGCACATGTTGGAGAAACGCTGACACCAGTTTTCTTTCTGTTCGGAGTGGACCTGACTACATATGGGAGGAGGAGGAGGAGGAGCACATGTTGGAGAAACGCTGACACCAGTTTTCTTTCTGTTCGGAGTGGACCTGACTACATATGGAATGGTCGGATCTGTGGGCAGTCATGTGACACGTCAACAGGCCTGAAGGAAAGCAGAAGTAGGTGTAATGAATACTTAGTGGCCTTGGAGGCTGTTTAAGGAGTTGTGGGCCTACAGATAAGAGAGGCTGCAGAAAGGACACAGCTGAAGAAAAAATGTTTAAACCACCGATGAAACTTCAGCTGAATAATGCTTTTTTATTGCCTAAAAGGAAGGGCAAGAAACACATAAAAATATGAATACACACAGAAAGTTTCGATAGTTTTAAGTGTGGCTGAACTCTTCTAAAATCACCCTGAATGCATTTAAAGTGTTGCTTTGTATAAACTACTGTGCTGATGGCATCCAATGCAGAGCTTGCATTGAAAAAAATGATCAGTCACACACTGTTTAAAATGACGCAAGACAAAATGCAATAGTATACAAGACCCAGTGTTTCCCCTACAATTATACAGCCCCACCCCCATGTTACAGAAGTCATAAGAAGCAGGTTTATTTTGAACAAACATTACAAACGTGTTCATTCCTACAAAACTGTCAAATATATTTACAAACAACACTAAAATGAATCAGACCAACATCAAATTAATCACATTTTATAATTAAATGTCTGTTTCCTGCTATAAAGAAAAATCCTCCTCCTGTC